CCAGTGGCTGCGCCCGCATGCGGTTCCACCCTCCATTCTGGCACACCCCTCACACGTTTCGTGGCCCCATAGGGAGCTCCACCGAAGGCCCCAGTGGCTGCGCCCGCATGCGGTTCCACCCCCCATTCTGGCACACCCCTCACACGTTTCGTGGCCCCATAGGGAGCTCCACCGAAGGCCCAGTGGCTGCGCCCGCATGCGGTTCCACCCCCCATTCTGGCACACCCCTCACACGTTCGTGGCTCCATAGGGAGCTCCACCGAGCGCCCCAGTGGCTGCGCTCGCATGCGGTTCCACCCCCCATTCTCGCACACCCCTCACACGTTTCGTGGCCCCATAGGGAGCTCCACCGAACGCCCCAGTGGCTGCGTTCGCATGCGGTTCCACCCCCCTCATTTCGGCACACCCCTCACTCGTTTCGTGGCCCGGGGGCGCCACCGAGGAATATATCCACAATTGCGGTATTCACAACTACGTATGGTTGGGTCTTTCGTCAGGCTAATTTTTTCTCACACGGTTTTCGGGGTGACACGTGTCGCCCACGTGTTGTTTCACATTGTATGGCCCCATTTTGGCGACTAGGATAAGATTGACAAACATTGTTTTTCTCAGGCGATTTTCGGGGTGGCACGTGTCACCCGTGTGTTGCTTCACATTGTATGGCCCCATGTTGGCGTCCAGGATAGGAGTGGAACAGTTGGTTTGTCTCACATGGTTTTCGGGGTAACACGTGTCACCCGTGTGTTGTTCCGCACTGTATGGCCCCATGTTGGCGTCCAGAATACGAGTGAAACAACGTGTCATTTGTCGCACGGTTCTCGGGGTAACACGTGTCACCCGCGTGCTGCTTCACACTGTATGACCTACTTGGGCGCCCAGAATACGAGTGAAACAAATGGTTTTGTTCACACGGTTTTCGGGTTGACACGTGTCGCGCGCGTGTTGTTCCACATTGTATGGCCCCATGTTAGCGCCCAGAATGCGAGTGAAACAGTTGGGTTTTCTCACACGGTTTTCGGTGTGACACGTGTCACCCATGTGTTGTTTCACAGTGTATGGCCCCATGCTGGCGCCCAACATATGAGTGGCACGATTGGTTTTGTTCATACGATTTTCGGGGTGACACGAGTCACCCGTGTGTTGATTCACATTGCATGGCCCCATGTTGGCGCCCAGAATACGAGTGAAACAGGTGGTTTTGCTCTCACGGTTTTCGGGGTGGCACGGGTCATCATTCGCATGTCGTTTCACATTGTATGGCCCCATGTTGGCGTCCAGAATGCGAATGAATCAATTGGTGTTGCTCACACGGTTTTCGGGGTGACACGTGTCGCCCGTATGTTGTTTCACATTGTATGGCCCCATGTGGGCGTCTAGAATACGAGTCTGACACTTGGTTGTCTCACGTGATTTTCGGGGTGGCACGTGTCACCCGTGTGTCGTTTCTCAAAGTGTATGGCCCCATGCTGGCGACCAGAATACGAGTGAAACAGCTGGTTTTTCTTACACCATTTTCTGGGTGGCACGTGTCCGTGTCGTTTGTTTTCGCCCGCGCCTCAAACGGGACCTCGCCCTTCGCCCAAGCCCCGGCCCTGTAGCCCTCGCTGCAGCCCTGGTTCGTTTTTCGTTTTGTTCTTCATGTGTCTTGTTTTGTCGTTTTGTCTGGTTCAAGCCCCAGCCAGAACCTCGCCCTGGCCCCAGCCGTCGTCCCATGTCTTCAGTTCGTTTTTCGTTTTGTTTCCAGCGCGGTCTGCGAAGTTCGTTTCGATGTTCGTTTTGTTTTCTCTGTATGGTCGGTGGCCTCGTGTCGTTTTTCGTTTTCGTGTGCACCGGTTTCGTTTTCACCGTTCGTTGTACAACGGTCGGGTTCGCTTCGTTTCCGTTCGGAGCGCCAGCGCGATTTAAGCATCGTTGTGCTCGGTCCGCGCTCTTTTCCGCTCGGGCCACCGGCTGGATCGTGCCGGGCCCCAGGACCGTCAAATCAACGACTTGGTTGGGGTGGAAGGCCGTCCCCGGGCAGGGGGGTCGAGAGCCCCCTGGGGCCCGCGCCCCGAGAAACGTCGCGACGTCGGAGGGGAGGGCTCCGAGCGGCGCGGCCGCTGCAAGGTGCACGGCCGATGGAGGCGTCGGCAGCACAGAGCTTGTTTCGAGGGCGGTGTTCGCGGAGGCTCCCCTTCGGCCCTCCTCCCTCCTTCTCGTGCCTCTCCCTCCCTCCCTCCTCCGCAGGCGTTTGGGGTCAAGGCCCGTGGGCCCAGGGGTCAGCAGCGCAGCTCCCCCGCGCGTCCTGGCGCACCAGCTGGGGCCGCGAAGTCGGCGTGATGGCGCCGCTTGCCGCTGCGTGGGCCGCCGTGCTCGGCTCCGGCCTGCTGGCGGCGGCCGAGGGCAAGGCAGCGAGCTCGAACCCCTTCCAGGGACAGGCGTTCTATGTCAACCCCGTGAACGCCAAGGAGTTCGACGGGTCCATTGCGAAGGCCACGGGCAAGACGAAGGAGAACTTGCTGAAGATGCAGAAGGTGCCCTCCGCCTACTGGATCGACGTGAAGGCCAAAGTGCGCGGTACAGACACCAAGAGCCTCGAGGGCATCCTCAAGGACGCCTCCAGCAAGTCGCCCCCAGAGCTCGTGGTGGTCATCTGGTACGACCTCCCGAACCGCGACTGCGATGCCCTGGCCTCCAACGGTGAGATCTGCTGCTACGCGGGCGAGGACGGAAGGTGCGACTACGATAAGACGGGGGACTGTGCCGAGGGCATCGAAGAGTACAAGACGGAGTACGCCGACCCCTTCATCAAGGTGCTCAAGGAGTACGAGTCCAAGCTGCCCATCGTGGTCGTCGTCGAGCCCGACAGCCTGCCAAACCTCGCGACCAATCTGGGCCACCCGCACTGTGGCAACCCCGCCACCCAGGCCGCCTACACGAAGGGCATCGGCTACGCGCTGGAGCAGCTGACGACCCAGGTGCCGAAGGTGTCAGTCTACCTGGACGCAGCTCACGGCGGCTGGGTCGGCTGGGAGGATAACCTGGAGAAGTTCATGGCCCTGTTGAAGAAGGCTGCCTTCCCTATGGCGAAGATCCGCGGCTTTGCCACGAACGTCGCGAACTACCAGCCGTTGGGCCAGATGTGCCCATTCTGCCCCGACCAGGGCTGGCGCAACGCATACTGCCTCAATGGCCGGCACAAGACAGACCCCTGCTGCGCGGACCCCTGCGACCTGCTGGGGCAGTACAGCGCTGGCAACAACGAGCTCAACTACGCCCAGGACCTCATCCTGGCGGCGAACGACCTGCTCGGCATGGACGCGCACGCCGTCATCGACACCGGGAGGAACGGCGTCGCGGACATGCGCCAGGACTGCAAGAATTGGTGCAATCCCCGCAACGCCGGCGCCGGAGTACCGTCCACCACCGACGTGGCCAACACCAGCATGATCGACGCCTACTTCTGGCTGAAGACGCCGGGCGAGTCGGACGGCTGCAGCCAGGAACTGCCCGACGGCGGCGCGTGCCCGCGCTTCGACAACATGTGCGGCTCCAGCGATTCCATCGGCTCCCAGACGACCGAGCCCAGGGCTCCCGAGGCCGGCGCATGGTTCGACTACCAGGTGCAGCAGCTGGCCCTCAACGCAAACTTCGAGCCGCCGGCAACCTCTGCACACGCCGCTGGCGGCAGCGCCGCCACGGGGTTTGGGTCATGCGGCGCGGACCTGCAGCAGCAGCAGCCCAGCAGCAGCCGCAGGTCACGCTCCAGCAGCCCAGCCAGGTGCAGCAGCAGGGCAACCCCTGGCTCCAGCAGGCCACGCAGCAGGTGGCGGACGTGCAGGGCACTCCCGCGACCGAGGCCTTCTGCTGCTTCGCGGGCAGCGGCGCCGACTTCTGCGCCCCGGACGGCTGCGTCCCCGCTGCGAAGTACTCGTCTGACACCAAGTGCGGGGCGTCACAGGCGAGCTGCAAGGCGTGTGCAAGCCAGGGGCAGTGGTGCCCAGCACAGCCTGCACAGCCTGCGCAGCCGCAGACTGCACAGCAGCAGCAGCAGCAGCAGCAGCAGCAGCAGCAGCAGCAGCAGCAGCAGCAGCAGCCTGCGCAGCAGCCGCTGCAGCCAGTGCAGGCGGGTGCCGCGCTGGCTGGCGGCGCGTGCTCGGCGGCCTACCAGCAGTGCGGCGGGGTGCAGTGGACCGGCCCGACATGCTGCGCAGAAGGCTCGACCTGCACGCAGAACGGCGACTACTACAGCCAGTGCACGCCATCCGCCGGCGCGTTCGGCGGGGTGCAGCAGAGCGTCGGCGCCCTCGCAGGGGTGGACAGCCTGCTCGGGATCATGAAGAAGGACGACGAGAGCCGCGCGGACGGGCAGAGCGCCCTCGGCCACGGCGGCCGGCGGACGTCCTTCGGGCAGGCAGCGCTGCTTTTCGTCACCGTGCCTCTGCTGATCGCGGCCGCCGGCGTCGCGTGCCGCCGCAGCTCCAGGCGCCCCAGCGGCGGCTTCCTGCGCCTCCCAGGCGGCGCGTCGCGCCAGGAGCTCACGGCGATGGAGGCGGCGTGAGTCCTCGGCGGCGGAGGCTGGTGCTGGCGAGGTGGGGGCAGTGTGAGGGCCCATCGAATTTTTGCTATCCGCGCCCAGCGTGGCTGGATTGGAACCTTGAATTCAATTGCACACGTAACCTAGAATTTGTCCTCGGGCTGCGCGACTCGGGCGTTGGTTGTAGAGTGCACGTTCAATTGTGCTCCCAGCGTGGCTGGATTGGATCTCTTGAATTCGACTGCACACGTGACCTAGAATTGGTCCTCCAGCTGCGCGCCTCAGGGCTTGCTTGCAGAGTCCACGCTCAATTTGCTTGGCCAGGGCCCATGGCTTATATGTCTACCGCAGGGATCTGGGCACTCATGATGGCGTGGCTTCCTGCGCTGCCCCCAAATCGGTGAGACCGTGCCCGCCACTCCATCGCGACCAGGATCGCGTGACGACATCAGCCCATGGGCCCAGCAGCGCGAGCGGCACGGCGGTGCCCCGCGCCCGCGCGCCATGCGAGCGCAGAGCGCGCGCGAGGGTGTACCCTTGAAAACCGAGCGCGTGATGGGCACGGCGTCGCCTCGCGGGCACCCGCGCTGGGCAGTCCGCCCGTTGTTGTTTCCGGGGCGGCCAGGGGCATTCTTCTGCGGGGAGCATCCAGGGGCTCGCCAATGGGAGCTGCTAGCCGCTTACATCCCGGCGCTCCTTCCCCCAAACAGTGCTTGCATCTCGAGGCTCCTCCGTGTCTTTCAAACTGCGAGGGCTTGACCTGAGGGCCTGGGGGTGCCGCAGGTTGAGCCCGTGGGTTGCGCCAGAGGCTGGCTGCGCCTTGGTTTGCGCATTCTTGCCCCAGGGCTTGGGGGGTGCCACGGGTTGTGTCCAGTGGGTGTGCCACAGGTTGCGCCCACTACTGCGTCATCGGTCGCGCCCATGGCTAGCATCGTAGGCTAACATTGCTGGCCCAGCCACGAGATCGTCACGGGTTGCGCCCATGCGCTCTGCACGTGCTGGTCCAAAGTCTTTTAATGCCATGGGTTGCGCCTTGCATTGCTTGCGCTACTCATGCGTTGCTACTCGTCTATTGTGCATTGCCCCACACGCATTGCGCTACTTCATTCGTTGGGGCCCACGCTAGACTCATCTTCGACTTCGGCCTCCACGGGCTGCACTGGACCACCAAATCTGGAACTGATGTGAACGAGTGCCCGCAGGGATAGGGTCGAGAGCCCTTTGTGGGTCTCGCGGACTGAGACATCGTGACGGCCAGTCTCTTTTCCAAGGGCCGAGCACAACGTTGTTTAGCTTGGTTGTTGCCCTTGTTGTGTGTTTTCGTTTCGTTGATCGTTGTTGTTCCGTTGTATTGTTCGGTTCTGTTTTAAGCGCGTTTGAAGGTCAAACGTTTTTTTTGGGCTGCGCGTTTCGTTGTTCGTTCTGTTTTGGTGCGTTTCCAAACTTGCGGTTCGTTTTTCGTTTTGTTTGCCCCGTTCATTCCGCGGTTCGTTTCGTTGTCCGTTTTGTTTCGCGCCGCCGTTGTCCTTCGATGTTCTGATGGCGCTTGATAAGAATCTCGTTTATTGTTTGACGTTTCGTTTTGTTGTTCGTTTTGTTGGTGATTGTATCTTTCGTTTTCAGCCTGGTCCCCAGCCTCTGCCGTAGCCCTAGCCGTAGTTGCGGGCGTTCGTTTCGTTGTTCTTTTTGTTTCGTTGTTCGTTTCGCTGGGCGAGGGCCTTAGCCCGAATCTCGCCCCTCGCCCTGGCACTGTTCCCGGGCGTTCGTTTCGTTTTTCGTTTCGATGTTTCCCCCCCGGTCATTGTTGTCGCGCTCCGGGCCTGGTCGTCAGCCTGGGCCCCAGCCCGTGCCGTAGCCCTGGCCGTAGTTCCGGGCGTTCGTTTCGTTGTTCGTTTCGTGTTTTTCCCCACTTTTCCTTTGGTACTCCTGGGCCATGGAAGCTAGGGCCCAGGAGTCCTGGGCCTTGGAGTGAAGGGCTCAGGAGTCCTGGGCCTTGGACCCCCAACATCAATGTCAGTTGGGACGGGGGTCTAGGGCCCAGGAGTCCTGGGCCCTGGAGTCTTGGGCCCAGGAATCCTGGGCTTTGGAGTCTAGGGCCCAGGAATCCTGGGCTTGGAGTCTAGGGCCCACGAATCCTGGGACTTAGACTCTAATACGAGTGAAACAATTGGTTTACCTCACACGTTTCTCGGGGTGGCACGTGTGACCCGTGTGTTGTTCCACGCTGTATGACCCCATGTTGACGCTCAAATTACGAGTGAAACAATTTGTTGTGCTCACGCGGTTTTCGGGGTGACAGGTGTCACCCGCGTGTTGTTGCACACTGTATGACCCCATGTTGGCGACCAGAATACGAGAGAAACACATACGTGCCACCCGCGTGTTGTTCCTCACTGTACGAACCCATGTTGGCGTCCAGAATACGAGTGAAACAAGTGGTGTTTCTCACACGGTTTTCGGGGTGACACGTGTCACCCGTGTGCTGCTTCACATTGTATGGCCCCATGTTGGCGCCCAGAATACGAGTGAAGCAAGCTGTGTTTCTCACACGGTTTTCGGGGTGACACGTGTCACCCGTGTGTTGTTTCATATGGTGTGACCCCATGTTGGCGCCCAGAATACGAGTGAAGCAATTGGTGTATCTCACACGGTTTCCTGAATGACACGTGTCACCCCTGTGTTGTTTCACACTTTACGGCCCCATGTTGGCGCCCAGAATACGAACGAAACAATTGTCCCAGAGCGACCCTACCTAGGAGTTGGAGCCCCGAGGAGAGCAATGTTAGTAGTAACGGTAAGCGCCGTCCTCCTCCTTCTCCTCATCGTCGCAGTTGTAGCAGTAGCGGTGGTAGTAGTAGTAGTAGTAGTAGTAGTAGTAGTAGTAGTAGTAGTAGTAGTAGTAGTAGTAGTAGTAGTAGTAGTAGTAGTAGTAGTAGTAGTAGTAGTAGTAGTAGTAGTAGTAGTAGTAGTAGTAGTAGTAGTAGTAGTAGTAGTAGTAGTAGTAGTAGTAGTAGTAGTAGTAGTCGTAGTCGTAGTCGTAGTCGTAGTCGTAGTCGTAGTCGTAGTCGTAGTCGTAGTCGTAGTCGTAGTCGTAGTCGTAGTCGTAGTCGTAGTCGTAGTCGTAGTCGTAGTAGTAGTAGTAGTAGTAGTAGTAGTAGTAGTAGTAGTAGTAGTAGTAGTAGTAGTAGTAGTAGTAGTAGTAGTAGTAGTAGTAGTAGTAGTAGTAAGTAGTAGTAGTAGCAGCAGTAGTAGTAGTAGTAGCACAGTTTAACACGTACATCTACATCTAGACCTACATGCTAGGCTATGGTATGCATCTACATCCAGGCTATGCTATGCTATGCTATGCTGCACTATGATATGCTATGCTATGCTGCGCTATGCTATGCTATGCTATGCTTCGCTATGCTATGCTAGGCTATGATATGCTATTCTATGCTATGATACGCTATAGTATGCTGTGCTATGCTATGATCTGCTATGATATGCTATGATATGCTATGCTGCGCTGTGCTGTGCTAAGCTAAGCGATGCTATGCTATGCTATATTATGATATGCTGCGCTATGCTATGATATGATATGATATGATATGCTATGCTGCGCTATGCTATGCTATGCTATGCTATGACATGCTAATACTGCGCTAAGCTAAGCTGAGCTAAGCTAAGCTAAGCTAGGCTAAGCTAAGCTAAGCTAAACTAAGTTAGGCTAAGCTAAGCTAAGTTAAGCTAAGCTAAGTTAAACTAGGCTAAGCTAAGATGAGATAAGCAACGCTAAGCTAAGGTGACGTAACTGGGGGAGCCGCGGGGCGGATCCTGGGGAAACGCCCGGGGCGATTTACACTGCCCGGCCTTTTAAGCTCTAAAATAAGAACCTTTCTAGGCAGAGCCTAGGTAGGGAATTAGTTTTTCTCACACGGTTTTCGGGGTGACACGTGTCACCCGTGTGCTGCTTCACATTGTATGGCCCCATGTTGGCGCCCAGAATACGAGTGACGTAAGTGGTGTTTCTCACACGATTTTCGAGGTGACGCGTGTCACCCGCGTGTTGTTTCACACTGTGTGACCCCATGCTTGCGCCTAGAATACGAGTGAAGCAATGTGTGTTGATCACACGGTTTTCGGAGTGACACGTGTCACCCGCGTGGTGCTTCACTTTGTATGGCCCCATGCTGGCGACTAGGATAAGAGTGAACCTATTTGTTTTTTCATGCGATTTTCGGGGTGACACGTGTCACCTGTGTGTTGTTTCACAAAATGTATGGCCCCGTGGTGGCGACCAGAATACGAGTGAAACAGCTGATTTTGTCATACACTATTTTCGGGGTGGCACGTGTCACCCGTGTGTTGTGTTACATTGTATGGCCCCGTGTTGGCGTACGTGGGCGTCCAGAATACGAATGTAACAAGTGATGTTGCTCACGCGGTTTTCGGCGTGACACATGTCGCCCGTGTGTTGTTCCACATTGTATGGCCCCATGTTCGCGTCCAGACTACGAGTGAAACAACGTGCCGTTTTTCTCTCGGTGTTCGGGGTGACGCGTGTCACCCGTGTGCTGTTTCACATTGTATGGCTCCATGTTGGCGCACATAATACGGGTGAAACAGGTGGTTTTGCTCACACGGTTTTCGGGGTGACACGTGTCGCGCGCGTGTTGTTCCTCATTGCGTGACCCCATGTTGGCATCCAAAAACGAGTGAAACAATTGGGTTTTCACACGGTTTCAGGGGTGACACGTGTCACCCATGTGTTGCTTCACATTGTTTGACCCCATGTTGGCGCCAAAATTATGAGTGGCACGATTGGTTTTACTCACATTGTTTTCGGGGTAACGTGTGTCACCAGTGTGGTGCTTCACATTGTCTGACCCTAGGCGCCCAGAATACGAGTGAAGCAGGTGGTTTTGTTGACATGGTTTTCGGGGTGACACACGTGTCGCCCGTGTGGCGTTTCACACTGTATGGCCCCATGTTGACGTCCAGAATACGAGTGAGACAATTGTTTTTCTTACACGGTGTTCGGGGTGACACGTGTCACCCGCGTGCTGTTTCATATTGTATGGCCCCGTGTGGGCGACCAGAATGCGAGTGAAATAATTTATGTTTGTCACGCTGTTTTCGGGGTGACACGTGTCACCCGTGTGTTGTTTCATGTTGTACGGCCTCACGTGGGCGTCCAGAGTATGAGTGAAGCAATTGGTTTTGCTCACACAGTGTTTGGGGTGACACGTGTCACCCGTGTGTTGTTTCATGTTGTATGGCCCCATGTTGTCGTCCAGGGTACGAGTGAAACAATTGGGTGTTCTCGCACGGCGTTCGGGGTGACACGTGTCACGCGTGTGCCGCTTTGTGCTGCTTCAGATTGTATGACGCCATGTTGGCGACCAGAATACGAGTGAAGCAATTGGTGTTTCACAAACGGTTTTTGGGTGACACGTGTCACTTGTGAGTTGTTTCACATTGTATGGCCGCATGTTGGCGTCCAGAATACGAGTGAAACAGCTGATTTTTTCTCACACCGTTTTCGGGGTGGCAGGTGTCACCCGCGTGTTGATCACACTATATGACCCCATGTAGGCGCCCAGAATAGGAGTGAAACAATGGATCTGGCTCACACGGTTTTCGGGGTGACACGTGTCATTCGCGTGTTGTTTCACATTGTATGGCCCCATGTAGGCGCCCAGAATGCAAGTGAAACAGTTGATTTTGCTCACACGGTTTTCGGAATGACACGTGTCGCCCGTGTGTTGTTTCACATTGTATGGCCCAATGTCGACGTCCAGAAGAGTAATGAAATAAATTGTTTTCTCACACGGTTTCCGGGTTGACACGTGTCACCCATGTGTTTTTTCACATTGTAGGACCCCGTGTTGGCGACCAGAATACGCGTGACACAATTGGTTTTTGTTGACACGGTTTTCGGGGTGAATTTAAGCCCAACGCAGAATGTCGACATTCGCTGGACCCCCAGGCCATAGCCGTCGCCGCAGCCCGAGTTTGTTTTTCGTTTTGTTTTTCGCTTGTTTTCGCGCGCGCTCAATCGGGACCTCGCCCCTCGCCCTAGCCTCGGCCCTGTAGCCCTCACTGCAGCCCTGATTCGTTTTTCGTTTTGTTTTTCAAGTGTTTTGTTTTGCCCGTTCGTCTGGTTCAAGCCCCAGCCCTAACCTCGCCCTGGCCCCAGCCGTCGTTCCATGTCTTCGTTTGTTATTCGCGTTGTTTTTCGTTTTGTTTAGCGCATGCCCCAACCGGCACCTCCTCCCTCCCGCCTTAGCCCAGCCCTCAGCCGTAGCCGCAAGCCGAGATCGTTTTTCGTTTTGATCTGCTGAAGCCCAAGCCAGAAGCGCGACATTCGCTGGACCCCCAGGCCCTGGCCGTCGCCGCAGCCCGAGCTTGTTCTTCGTTTTGTGTTTCGTTTGTTTTCGCCCGCGCCTCAAACGGGACCTCGCCCTTCGCCCAAGCCCCGGCCCTGTAGCCCTCGCTGCAGCCCTGATTCGTTTTTCGTTTTGTTCTTCATGTGTCTTGTTTTGTCGTTTTGTCTGGTTCAAGCCCCAGCCAGAACCTCGCCCTGGCCCCAGCCGTCGTCCCATGTCTTCAGTTCGTTTTTCGTTTTGTTTCCAGCGCGGTCTGCGAAGTTCGTTTCGATGTTCGTTTTGTTTTCTCTGTATGGTCGGTGGCCTCGTGTCGTTTTTCGTTTTCGTGTGCACCGGTTTCGTTTTCACCGTTCGTTGTACAACGGTCGGGTTCGCTTCGTTTCCGTTCGGAGCGCCAGCGCGATTTAAGCATCGTTGTGCTCGGTCCGCGCTCTTTTCCGCTCGGGCCACCGGCTGGATCGTGCCGGGCCCCAGGACCGTCAAATCAACGACTTGGTTGGGGTGGAAGGCCGTCCCCGGGCAGGGGGGTCGAGAGCCCCCTGGGGCCCGCGCCCCGAGAAACGTCGCGACGTCGGAGGGGAGGGCTCCGAGCGGCGCGGCCGCTGCAAGGTGCACGGCCGATGGAGGCGTCGGCAGCACAGAGCTTGTTTCGAGGGCGGTGTTCGCGGAGGCTCCCCTTCGGCCCTCCTCCCTCCTTCTCGTGCCTCTCCCTCCCTCCCTCCTCCGCAGGCGTTTGGGGTCAAGGCCCGTGGGCCCAGGGGTCAGCAGCGCAGCTCCCCCGCGCGTCCTGGCGCACCAGCTGGGGCCGCGAAGTCGGCGTGATGGCGCCGCTTGCCGCTGCGTGGGCCGCCGTGCTCGGCTCCGGCCTGCTGGCGGCGGCCGAGGGCAAGGCAGCGAGCTCGAACCCCTTCCAGGGACAGGCGTTCTATGTCAACCCCGTGAACGCCAAGGAGTTCGACGGGTCCATTGCGAAGGCCACGGGCAAGACGAAGGAGAACTTGCTGAAGATGCAGAAGGTGCCCTCCGCCTACTGGATCGACGTGAAGGCCAAAGTGCGCGGTACAGACACCAAGAGCCTCGAGGGCATCCTCAAGGACGCCTCCAGCAAGTCGCCCCCAGAGCTCGTGGTGGTCATCTGGTACGACCTCCCGAACCGCGACTGCGATGCCCTGGCCTCCAACGGTGAGATCTGCTGCTACGCAGGCGAGGACGGAAGGTGCGACTACGATAAGACGGGGGACTGTGCCGAGGGCATCGAAGAGTACAAGACGGAGTACGCCGACCCCTTCATCAAGGTGCTCAAGGAGTACGAGTCCAAGCTGCCCATCGTGGTCGTCGTCGAGCCCGACAGCCTGCCAAACCTCGCGACCAATCTGGGCCACCCGCACTGTGGCAACCCCGCCACCCAGGCCGCCTACACGAAGGGCATCGGCTACGCGCTGGAGCAGCTGACGACCCAGGTGCCGAAGGTGTCAGTCTACCTGGACGCAGCTCACGGCGGCTGGGTCGGCTGGGAGGATAACCTGGAGAAGTTCATGGCCCTGTTGAAGAAGGCTGCCTTCCCAATGGCGAAGATCCGCGGCTTTGCCACGAACGTCGCGAACTACCAGCCGTTGGGCCAGATGTGCCCATTCTGCCCCGACCAGGGCTGGCGCAACGCATACTGCCTCAACGGCCGGCACAAGACAGACCCCTGCTGCGCGGACCCCTGCGACCTGCTGGGGCAGTACAGCGCCGGCAACAACGAGCTCAACTACGCCCAGGACCTCATCCTGGCGGCGAACGACCTGCTCGGCATGGACGCGCACGCCATCATCGACACCGGGAGGAACGGCGTCGCGGACATGCGCCAGGACTGCAAGAACTGGTGCAATCCCCGCAACGCTGGCGCCGGAGTCCCGTCCACCACCGACGTGGCCAACGCCAGCATGATCGACGCCTACTTCTGGCTGAAGACGCCGGGCGAGTCGGACGGCTGCAGCCAGGAACTGCCCGACGGCGGCGCGTGCCCGCGCTTCGACAACATGTGCGGCTCCAGCGATTCCATCGGCTCCCAGACGACCGAGCCCAGGGCTCCCGAGGCCGGCGCATGGTTCGACTACCAGGTGCAGCAGCTGGCCCTCAACGCAAATTTCGAGCCGCCGGCAACCTCTGCACACGCCGCTGGCGGCAGCGCCGCCACGGGGTTTGGGTCATGCGGCGCGGACCTGCAGCAGCAGCAGCAGCAGCAGCAGCCCCAGCAGTCGCAGGTCACGCTCCAGCAGCCCAGCCAGGTGCAGCAGCAGGGCAACCCCTGGCTCCAGCAGGCCACGCAGCAGGTGGCGGACGTGCAGGGCACTCCCGCGACCGAGGCCTTCTGCTGCTTCGCGGGCAGCGGCGCCGACTTCTGCGCCCCGGACGGCTGCGTCCCCGCTGCGAAGTACTCGTCTGACACCAAGTGCGGGGCGTCACAGGAGAGCTGCAAGGCGTGTGCAAGCCAGGGGCAGTGGTGCCCAGCACAGCCTGCACAGCCTGCGCAGCCGCAGACTGCACAGCAGCAGCAGCAGCAGCAGCAGCAGCAGCAGCAGCAGCAGCAGCAGCAGCAGCAGCAGCAGCAGCAGCAGCCTGCGCAGCAGCCGCTGCAACCAGTGCAGGCGGGTGCCGCGCTGGCTGGCGGCGCGTGCTCGGCGGCCTACCAGCAGTGCGGCGGGGTGCAGTGGACCGGCCCGACATGCTGCGCAGAAGGCTCGACCTGCACGCAGAACGGCGACTACTACAGCCAGTGCACGCCATCCGCCGGCGCGTTCGGCGGGGTGCAGCAGAGCGTCGGCGCCCTCGCAGGGGTGGACAGCCTGCTCGGGATCATGAAGAAGGACGACGAGAGCCGCGCGGACGGGCAGAGCGCCCTCGGCCACGGCGGCCGGCAGACGTCCTTCGGGCAGGCAGCGCTGCTTTTCGCCACCGTGCCTCTGCTGATCGCGGCCGCCGGCGTCGCGTGCCGCCGCAGCTCCGGGCGCCCCAGCGGCGGCTTCCTGCGCCTCCCAGGCGGCGCGTCGCGCCAGGAGCTCACGGCGATGGAGGCGGCGTGAGTCCTCGGCGGCGGAGGCTGGTGCTGGCGAGGTGGGGGCAGTGTGAGGGCCCATCGAATTTTTGCTATCCGCGCCCAGCGTGGCTGGATTGGAACCTTGAATTCAATTGCACACGTAACCTAGAATTTGTCCTCGGGCTGCGCGACTCGGGCGTTGGTTGTAGAGTGCACGTTCAATTGTGCTCCCAGCGTGGCTGGATTGGATCTCTTGAATTCGACTGCACACGTGACCTAGAATTGGTCCTCCAGCTGCGCGCCTCAGGGCTTTGTTTTTTTTTTTGTTCTTTTTTTTTGTTTATTTTTTTGTGCTTTTTTTAATTCTTTTTTTTTCTTTGATAGGTCTTTCTTTTTTGTTTGGTTTTTTACTTTTTTTTTTTGTTTTTTTTCTTTCTTTTGTTTTGTTTTTAGTTTTTCTTTTTTCATTTTTGTTTGTTTCTTTCGTAGTTTTTTTTTTTGCTTGCAGAGTCCACGCTCAATTTGCTTGGCCAGGGCCCATGGCTTATATGTCTACCGCCCAGATCTGGGCACTCATGATGGCGTGGCTTCCTGCGCTGCCCCCAAATCGGTGAGACCGTGCCCGCCACTCCATCGCGACCAGGATCCGTGCTCAACTCCAGCTGACCAGAGCGCTCGCCTGTCGCCAAAAGTGATCTATTCGTGCGGGGCGGCCCCCCGCCTTGGCGCAGAGTGTGTTCCGAGCCATTTATTTGGTCCTTTCGTCCCGTCCGACTTGCACGACTCGGGCGCGGGATGCTCCAGGAAGCGCCTTGGCTGATACCTTCGCCGTCGCCTCCTCCCCCCTGCCTCATCATGCTATTCTCTCATTCTGCTCCTGCCCCTCCCTCTCCTGCTACTCCCGTCTGCTGTTCCTCTTAAGCTACCGCTTTCCCCAAGGTCTGGTGGGGCCACCTTCAGGTATCTGAAGTTCCCAGTGCCTGGGAGGCTCCGATTGAAGAGGTCTCGAGGATGATGATTTCGGTCAGCCGCTTCCTTGTACGTAGTAGTGAGGCTCACCGTGTCAGGGTATTGATAACACCTGGCTGTGCATGGGGGTGGGGCATTCCCGTACTGGCGATGTGCGCGGATCGGGCAATCGTTTTCGACGTTATGAGTTCTTTCTCTCGGTCTCTCTCTCTCTCTCTCTATATCTCTTCCAAACTTTCATACTCTCATGCTCTCCCTCACTCTCTCTCTCTCTCTTTCTCTCCTTCTCTCTATCTCTTTCACTTCCAGAAAGAGATGGAGAAAGAGAGAGAGAGATAACAAACAAGAGACATTAATGCAGGAACATCTAGCAAGGACAACACCCAATTATCCGTAAGGGCTTCGCCCCCTGCCGCTGGCCCCCTCTCTCGGAGAATGGGCCATGGAAGAGCTAAGTCATGAGGCCTTGGCGCTGTCGTGAAGCAGTATCGAAACTTCATGCGAAGCCGATTCGCAATCAGCAAAACCAACTGATCACAAGAGGGGTTACCACACCTGCGATTGGTAAGACGTGTATGGTTTACGGGCTTGGTTACCACACCTTGCGATTAAAGGGCCGAGGGAGTTCTCGCAGTTTGGGTTACCACGCCTTGCGATGGATGTGCGTGAAGGGTGGCACCGAATTTCAGAAATGTGCCAAATCCCCTGTGTTTTTGGACCCTGACCCCGCGGATCTGCGTGAGGGGTGGCACCGAATTTCAGAAATGTAGCAAATCCCATGTGTTTTTGGAGCCTGACCCCGCGGATCTGCGTGAGGGGTGGCACCGAATTTCAAAAATGTGGCAAATCCCATGTGTTTTTGGACCCTGACCCCGCGGATCTGCGTGAGGGGTGTCGATTTCGAGCCCCCCCAGCAATTCAGACAAC